TGGTTGTGGTTGTATCTTCTTAAGTGATCTCGCTCAAGCGATGGCTAAATAAGGCGCTAGATTAGTCAGGTGCACGTGACCTGTGACACTAGATTAGTCAGGTACACGTGACCTGTGACAACACGCAATCGAACCGCGGAACCGGCACTGTGCATGGTGCACCGCGTGATCGACTTGAAGGGCCACTTTCTTATGTATGGAGCAACAACCACACGATTAAATTCTAATATTACTAGGCCAAAAGCATTCTTCTGATGTTTCTGGCTACGAATAGGACTTAAAAATCTAGCAGAATCATTGCAATAGGGTCAATTGTGTCGAGTAATCTAACCAATTATTAACCATAATTGGCCATACTCCTAACACCATTCCAGCTGATTGGCGCCGCGCTGGTGCATGTTATTCAATTTGTGGAGTTAGCATTAAAGAGTGATCTGAGCTTCGTTTCCAACTCGAGCAAGCCGCTGGCGTTCAAATCGTGAAGTCTGCGTGATGTCGATGATGGCACTGCACCGCACTCCACCCGGCTGCTCTTCATATCCTAATCCATGTTCTTTTGTCCTACCTAAACGATCCACCAGCCAAGCGAAGGTTGGGCGAAGTTTTCCATATCTGAGGATCATTAACGCTGTATGCTAGCTGGAACGGTGCCTAAACTTTAGGTGATGACCGATCAGGAAGGAATGCCTCCCTCGCTTCCCCGTATTTAAACTCGCTCTTCTTCTTCCTCCTTTTCTTCTTCCTTCACACACCTACACATTCATCTGTCTCTCTTCAAACACACGTACACATATACACACACAAGCTGAAAAAAATCATGGCTGGAAATAATGCTTCTAGCTTTGCAACAATGAATGCAACCGAGCTCGAGAATGAGCTTGATCAACATCTCACAATTTGGAGGCAGCGTGATCCACATGTCAACGGCAACTTCAGGCGCAACTGGGTCAATTCTCTCGTCCTTTTAAGTCGACCTCTATTGAACATCCACAGATACTCACGGCTTACTACAACGCTTGTAGCTAGGCAATTTCCCTTCGCGTCCTGAGCTTCAGACTCTCCCATGCATCCCATGTTGCGGCCGTATCAGCCAAGGTATCGACATGAGTGGTATCGCTATTGGCTCTCAGCAAGCCCGCTACATAATCAACGTTCCCCCTGATGCGCCTACACATCGAGAAGCACTACGCAGTATCAACTGCAATGGCAATACTCCGTGTCACCTCTGCCGTCATTACATGCTCCATCGACTCAGCGAATGTCGAGTTGCTCCGCAGAATACTGGGTCTTGGGAAATTGATGCTCTCAGCAAGGCTGTCCGATCCTACAAGTATCTCAATGAGTGGTAAGGCTAGTCACTTACCTACTAGTAACGTATGCAGACGCTAACAGTGCATGTCTTAGGCAAAAAAGGATGTCGCAACTTCGCGGCGACGAATATGTGCACAATCATCAGGACTTCCAGAAGTACCGAAACATGCTGCTGTTTTGGATGCAGATTGATAATCAATGGGGTTGGATGACTGACGAAACTGTCATTACTGATGGAGGCTGGTCTATTATGTAGACTCCAATGCTATCTGCTAGTCTGCTGAAGACAGACAGGCTGTATGGAATAGTCTTTCTTAGGCTTGGGATCACAATCAGAATCAAATCTATGTCCACTCATACTACAGCAGGTTGTGTTCATATCCTGCCCCCCAAAAAAATGTGAATCATGCAGTGCTGTACTCGCAGAGGGCGCTGCGCAGGTTGAAGAGAGGCAGTTCGTGATCTGATCCAACCATCCTTATACTCTGCCGTGCATATCTGCAGTCAGAATATGAATATCAGCTGCAACGGGCAAATGGTGAGAATGGCAGGCGTTGTGTGCATCCCGGAACAGTTTTTGGAATTGTAAGCGAACTACATAGTAGAATTCAGTTGGATCTGACTAGATCTACTCATATTCACGCCGTTATCCAGGAATGTTAAACAGAAACTTTCCAGTGTAATTGCATCGTTGAGAATCTGGATGTTTAAGTTAGGTGGCGATGGTGGTGGTGGTGCGGAGGTGGAGTTGCTTGTGAGCCACCTCGAATTGGGCCCGTAAAATGGGTATTAGAATTGCGCCAGAATCACACAATAAAATTCAGCTGGATCTGGCTAAATCTACTCAAATTCGTCCAATTATCCAGGAATATTAAACAGAAAATTTCCAGCGTAATTGCATCGTTGACGATTTGGATGGAGAGGTTCGGTGATGATGGTGGTGGCGGGGTCCTGGTGGAGTTGCTTGTGAGTGATTGAGTCACCTCGGATTGGGCCTATGAAATCGATAATAAAATTACTCGCGAACCACACGATAAAAATCATTTCAATATAGGTCTTTCAGACTGTAATTGCGCATATATTTAGGAATGAAAAGCTATAATCTTCCAGTACAGCTCCGTCACCGATAAAGTATGTGGACAACTCGGCAACACTGGAGGACTTGACCAAGGCATATGTCACGAACGCACCACAGTTGAGGGCCAAACTTCCGACCGGGACAATGAAATATATTTTTGAATGCATTAATATGGTAAACTACTCCTCTCCTAACTTACTATCAACTCGAAACCGACAAGTCGCTTATCTTTCTCGCCGTTGTAAGGCTCGTCTACCCAATCAGCTGCACCGAGCAACCATTGAGATGCTGCATTAATCTGCAGACTCCTTTCTCCAGCGACAGGATTGATGGGGCCAGCATAGAGCTGCTAGTTCTTTGAGCCGCAAGAGACTGTCTCGAAAAAGCGGCGCTGGGCATTGCATAATTTCAATTTGCCATCACCACCGCGTTCAATCCCGTTTGGATCCCAGATGAGCACCACTGTGCCGTGAGACACTTCTTTTGCTTTCTGTTTTGGTGGTGATTGCGGTGCTTTTGATGGCATGTAATGCTCCGATGCGCTGGCCGACGATTTGGCGTCTCGTGCTGGTTGGCGTCGCTCTGGCTGTTCAACGGGTGCCTGTGTCGGCAGAGGTGATGATGAAGAAGAAGATGATGATACAGGAGGTCATCGCGAATCTTTGATGGTGAATCGAGAGGGCTGTCGACAGGTAATGATAGCACTACACCAGGCCTCCCAATCACCTGTCTGTGAGTTGATTGATCCCGCCCCAATCCAAGACTTCATTTGACTCAGGTGTAATGTCAAGTTTATCGAACCTACTGCTACATCATCCGAATGAAAGATATCGCTCATGCTTCCCATTGAATCGAGTATCGCATTGGCTGGATTACTACCACCACCACCACCCACCCACCCTTATCTTCCTAGATTTCTAGTTCTTGATTTAATTCTTGCGTATATCATGGGTCGCAAATACGACTTCCTTCAGTGCGACATGGATCTTTTGGATGGGAGATCTGGTCTCACAGTATTTATCGAGGTCTGCCCGAAACGATCGGGTACAAGAGGTGAACTGGGCTAAGGTGGCATCGGCTGATATGGCAGCGGGTTTTGTCGCCTATATATTCAAATCAACAGGTTAGCTTGGTACTTTTATATTGGAGCTCTCATCTCTCTGAAGCGTACATACCACTAAGGCCGTAGAAGAGGACATTGCTAGACTTGAGCTGATTCGCATGGAGAAGAAGAGGACGAGGATTGGGGGAAAAGAAACAGCATTTATACCCATGAGACCGCACAGTGCTATCCTGTTGTGAAAACACCAAGAGACCATAATCAAGTTTCAGCAGACGCAGCCCTACCATCTTTTAGTCATCTTAAGCCTACTCAATATTCAAATCCATCTGCACATTTGGAGGTCTGGACTGCAAAGTTGGCCATCTCTCGTGGTCTTAAGAATGCATCTTTTCCTCTCCACCTCCAACCAGTGCGCACTACACAGCCCAAATAGCAGAGAGAAATCCTCGAAGCCTCTGATCCCTCACCTCTATTCAAGAATATGGAAAATGGCTTCCTCAGACATATCAGTAAGTCCAGCCTCCACTCTCTTCTGTTCTGTCAAACTAAAATTATAACAGGTCCCAAAACCCAGTCCGTTGCTCAAATTCGTGTCTGGCCAAACCAAATGAATCGTAGTCCTAAGTTTGTGTACATCCCATTTGTCTTAAGAAACCTCAAGGTATCATCATCACCTCTCCTGCTCAGGAAAACAAATCTCACAGAATCAGATTGGGCCTGGAGTCTATAGGCAAGGATATGTATAGATGCATTAGCTAGGAGCTAGCGGCGTAGTTATTCGAAACAATGCGTATCCGATATTCTTTTTGCGCAGTAGGTTTCGAGGCTGCTAGGAACAGCTGGGACGCCCTCTGGAAATTTCCACCTTCCGTATGTATCCCACTGAGGTTTACCGAAATCTTCCAGCTGTTTCCCTAAGGCTATCTCTACTTCTGTAATAAGCTGTTGAAAGTGCTTTGGCCCCTTGTTTTGCAGGCACTGGAGTCCGATCTGGTTCAGTCTCTTGCGTTTTGCCCCGACTCGAAATGTGAGTTTGTCGTTAGTGCCCCATCGCCCCAGATACCAAATACAGCCCCCTCTTCAGCTTTAGCTTGTCATCTATGCGCCACAGAACGCAGTAGCATTCTTGCGACTGCTCAGAAGTCTATAAACCATGCATGAGTCCTTTAGGTCAAAGAAATTTTGAATATGTGTTGTGATATTTACAAGTCTTGGTCTTTTATATCTATCCTTAGCTGCTTCATACCGAAGGATTGATTGATACATGTTGATACTTGTATACCTTTCATTCCTCATACACGCTGAACATTGAACATTCTTGATTTCAACCGCATATTCCAGGTTGACTCCCTCTTCGTCTTCGGTACCTTCATCCCCCGACAGCTCGCCAATCTCAACAACCTTTCCCCCAGTAAGTAGGGGAAATAGTCTTTCATTAACTCATCATGAAAATTGTTGCATTGACCAACAGGCTTATAGAGTTTCTGAGAATTTCAAACCCATATGCCCTGTTCCAGAAGTAATTTGACATTTAGATTGCAGACGCAAACAACTTCGTTGGTATCTTGAGGAGGTGAAGGATAGGTGTTTTGTGGTTCAACTTGACCAGAATCATATTGATTCGTCTCGGTTGATATGTTGTTTGGATATGTATTTATGTGGTCATACATTTTTATTGCATATAGAAGAAAAAAAACCGGACTGTTGGTATATTGATTTAACGAGAATTAAAGCTGTCATTATATTTACTCCTTTACGGACATCGAGTTGGGCGAAGAAAACATGAAACGAAACTGAAGTGTGATTAAAACAGAAACCAAGCCATACAAGGAGATCTCATCGGACCATGTCCGTTGGGTATTAGGCCTCCCGCTCTTTCTATGCACATCCTGATTGAAAAGTTTTTGTTTAGCGCGGGCCATCAGATACCTCAGCTCAGCTGCGCTTCGCCCTTGTAGTACCAAATAAAGTTGCTGATGAAGTTGCAAGGATATATGGGTGGAACGTAGAGTTCCCGATGGTCGGAGTAATTTATTCGTTTCAGATTTTGCTGACACAGAAAAACCTGGAAAAGAAGGGCCGCCAAAATGGACCCCAGAGGACGAGATGCAAGCGGCAAAAGGACGAGGATTTTTTCCTCTGAGTTACTTGAGTTAATAGGCAGTAGTTCAGTACATAGTGAGATGACAGAGTCAGCTTGACCGCACTGAAGGAGGCTTTGAGGACCAAGAGCTAGCGGATCGTCTGTGCAGCGAGTCAAATCATGCTCACCGGGAGAAGAACTCGCGAGGCATCGTTCTATCAAGCGCCTCCTGCTGCCTGCATCACGATGTAAGCGGCGCATGATGCATAACGAGCATGACATAGACAGCTACTGCTAGCGGGTCTCAGAGTGTGACAGGATGCTGGGATAACGTCATCATTTGCGCAAGCTGAATGGACACGATAGTCCTGGTATCCTTGTAATGGCCCATCATTTGGTGTCACAGTAGCTTGCTTATCTGTACCGGCATGATCAGGCGCTCCTTTAGACCAGAGACTTCATGATAAATCGCCGGAGGTGATGCGCCAGTAGCATGCGCAGGGTACTGCTTGGTGGCTATGACTGGTAGCGCGGTAGTTCGACATTCATGCGAGCTTGCCGTGATGGAGGTTGCATCGGCAGCCATTCTCTTCCTCCGCATAGATTACTATAGGTCGGATGTTCGCTGCGACAAATGGTTGATCCACCCGTCCACCATTTCGCCAATCAGGTGCTATGATTGAATGGCTGAGCTAAGGTTCAATTTATTGGAGCACCCGCAACACCCTGACAGATGTGAGCGGCGCATGGCGCATCATGAGCATGGTATGGACAGCTGGTGCCAGTGAGGCTCTGCAGCGTAACCTGATGATAGAACAACAGTGCCATGTGCGCAAGCCGAATGGAGACACGAGTCCTGGGATCACTTTGGTGTCTCAGCGTCTTTAGGCCATCGAATATGCCGTGGAATGGTATTTGCGGAAGTGGATGACTTGCTAGCATCCGCACGATACAATAACTTGAAGATGTAGTGCTCCGGCCCCGTGATTATAGGCTCGTATTCATAAGACTATGCTGCGACGGGGAAGACTAGGAACAGGACTCTCTGGTCCAGGCGATCGTCTCCTAGTGAGTGTGCCATAGGTGATATTGCAAGAAAGCAGCGTAATTTCATGCCTGCAGGATGTAGCGTGACAGCGGACTGGCAGACGAATGTCCCAAGGCTGCCTGGAAATGGTGTGCTGGCTCGATGTTTGACTGACTGCATAGTCAGTGTCATGATGGTGAAGATATGAAGACAGGTCGACGACTTACTGTGATTGTGTCTGAACCACCGACACTGCTTGTTGGGCTGGAACAGTACTGGCTTGGATAATGTTGCAGTGATTGTGCTTTTATCATCTGTTATACTGCATGTGAACGCATTGAATTACATCAAAGTCAAGCAGTTTTATTTGATGAAGAGAGAACTTGCCGCTGTTATTGAAGTATTTGTGCTTGGCACTCAAACAAAGCTCCTGATGCCTGGAGATGTACCGTCAAACATGCAGGGATAGCACTGTGCGTCATGGCTCCGTGGCTTGGCGTTGTCGTTGGATTTTGTCAACATCTCATTTTACGCTAGATAACTCCGCGACACATCCCGGCGGCAAGACATAAGCGCTCGATATCTCGACTCAAAACGACATGGCTGCTAGTTCAAAACTTCTAGATGCCCCGCAAAGACTGCCTATGCCATCCTTAGAGAATACAGGTATGTAAATGCACGTAGTCTACTACTTGGGTAGAACATATGCTGACACCACAAAGCGCATTGTAAGGACCGCGAACGTCTTACCCATTTCCGATCTTCCCGTGTCGCAAAGACGCCGGTGATTAAGAAAGAGTATAAGCGACAAGAGGTAGGCGTGAGACAGCGTCTACTGTTGTCAGAGATCTAACAATACACAGGAACAAGCCATAGTGGACAATTCGTTACAACGCATCTTACGCTCTCGAACTGGCAATCACAATCAAACAACTACGCCCTCTGCCCAGAGCGCAGCGACGCGAAAGAGATCTCGAACAATCGAAGCCAAGCAAGCCTCATACCCCAGACGATCTAAGCGGCGTCGAAAACTTGTCCAGCAGCCATTACCTGTCCAGCAATCCGAAGGCAGGAAGCGACGCCTGAATATCTCGGAATCCGGCGCAACTGGTGCTTCTCGCAAACGGGTACGGCACAATCCTAAAAAGGCTGTTGTTGACAGCTCAGCTGAACAGGAGGCCGACAACGTCGACGGCCAGCAAGATCCCATAACATACTGGACAAAGACAGGATACTGGCCCAAAAGATACTCCGAGCAGACCAACGGCATGAGCCACCTACTTGCTAGGCAGAAGTCTTCGGTCTCCCTTCGCCGGAAGAAATCTGAACTGGTCTCGGTTGATCCAGTTCCAACTACAGCGCCGACTTCTGTGGCGCCGAGCTCTACAACACCCAGCGACCAAAAGCCAAGAGATGTCAAAAGCGCACCTTACCAAGATGCGCGTTATAAATTTTTACTTTCGACTAAAGGTAGCTTCATGGAGAAATCAGAGCTGGATATCACTCAGAAGAGCAAGAAAACATATCTAAACTTACTTAATGCGGAACAGACGGTTCCAAAAGACTCTTTGTTCCGCGATGACCTATTCGAACGGACTTGTCAAAAGATACAAGACAGGAATGAGACCCGGGTCATCCGAGATATCTCTCTTTTAATTGTACCATCAGCGGAGACTCTAACAACATATGGGGCCGAACACCTCAAGATTTTGATTGAGAGCACCAATGAAGGCTGGAACAACTCCTTTGCCTTGACAGGCACGCGTCCGCAGCCTGATTACTCTGTGGGATTCAAGCGGGAAGCATTCACCAACGAGCAGCTCGACAAGCTTGCCCCATTCATTGGGGACTTCATCTCTGGCGATCAGTCGTACTTCATGGCCACGTACTACATGTACTTCCCGTTCCTTACTTGTGAGGTGAAGTGCGGTGCTGCAGCGCTCGACATCGCGGACCGACAGAATGCCCATAGCATGACACTTGCGGTGAGAGCTACCATCGAGCTCTTTAGACTCGTTGGTCGTGAGATGGAGCTTCATCGAGAGATTCTCGCTTTCTCAATCTCGCATGACCACAGGTCAGTGAGAATTTATGGACACTACGCAGTCATTGATGGGAAAGACACCAAGTACTACCGCCATCCTATCCATACTTTCGATTTCACAGCTCTGGACGGAAGGGAGAAATGGACGGCATACAAGTTCACCAAGAATGTCTACGATATATGGATGCCGAATCATTTCAAACGGCTATGTTCGGCTATAGATCAAATCCCGGCAGACCTGGATTTCAGCGTTTCACAACTTTCCCAGAGCTTCGGGCTTTCACAAGACTTGGAGCGCCATCATCTCTCAGGGTCGAGTCAGCCCGATTCGCAATCACAAGATCTCAGTCAGCAAAGTACTGAAGGCGCAAGAGACACCACCCTAAATACCTCATTTACCGGTCGAGGAGCTTCGAAGCGTCCCAGGAAACGGCTTGTTGCAGAGGAATAATGCATGTTAGAAAATGTTTTGTAATACCACGTATATATTAGTATTCAACTAACTTAATTCACTCTGTTCGCTACAAGCTTCAAGTGTTCTGAAAAGTCTATATAATGTTTTCATATAGCTGTTGATGTCGACCAGAGCGATGTCATTAATATCCTCGCTCAGCATAAAGGATACTTTTTATATAGATTGGCGAATTACTTCTTCAACATGTACCTCTTCTCGTTTTAGCTTCGACCAGGTTTGTTCAGCTTCTCTCCCTTAGTCATCGATCCGTTTCCTCTTTTTGCCTTAAATAGGGATCAGCAAAATCGATAACGATCGGACCTTGCGTTTACCTCGATCGCAAGGCATTTGAGCTTGTACACTCTCCAGATCTTCTTCAATATCATCATCGACGGATGTCGCGGCTTGCTGTTGCAGGTGAAGGGACATCAAACTCTCAGCGCCCTCAACATCGATCGCGGCGTTATGGTTCGCAGTACGTGGGTCAAGTTACACGGGTCAGCGGTGGCGGATAATACAACTTTGGCTGAGAGTACGAACCTCTCCTTCTCGGACGCTTCTTCGCGGCGAGGATTTTTCTGTAGGCATTCGAAATGCGAAAACTGCGTCAGTGATCGACTGATTCATGGAGGGGGCATAGAATTGTTCAGTACATTTAGCGGATCCTAAACGACTGTCTCTTTATGTCACAGCGCCCTGGTTGAATGAGTATTAACAATACGGTAGCTCAACAGTAGTGACTGTAGGCGGTGATGGACATCCCCGAGTTGGAGTTCAATGCGGGTCCTAATCAAGGACACGCGTGAGTGGTACAGAAAACGTGGTATTCTTTACGAACGAGGCTATCTGCTGTACGTGCCACCATGAACTGGCAAATCTAGCCTGAGCTTTTCGATTGCTTGGCACTTCGACTTAGATATCTATATTCTGAACCTAGCCAGTGTCGGCGATGGCACTTTGGCCACTCTATTTGCAAGACTTCTGTAACATTATATCATTCTCTTGGAAGATATAGATGTAGCCACTTAAAACCGGTTGATAGACAAGGACGCAGCTCATTCCAATACATCAACTAGCTTGACAGAAAAACAAGGGGAAGGAGTTACGCTCTCCGGACTTCTTAATGCTCTTAATGGTGTCGGGTCGCAAGAAGGTCGAGTATTTATTATAATAACTAACTATATCGAACAGCTAGATGACGCGCTTATTTAACTAGGAAGGATTTACCGGAAAGCAGAGTTTCAGGTGGCTGATATAGGTATTATCAAGCAACTTTTCCGCATCATATTTAAGGATGAAAAAGACGCCAAAAAGGTTGAGCGACTTGGCGACGACTTTGCTGACCTCGTCTCAGAACTGGAGTTAGCCCAAGGGAAGTTTCTCTCCCTTTTGTTGGAACACAGGAAATCCCCTGAGAGCGCTATTGCTGCCGTGGAAACATGGGTAGCTAGAGTTCGGGAGGAGAAGCGCAGCAAGTTGAAGAGAGAAGGTTCTTGGGTGCACGGCGAGAATATCTAAGCATTAGACATAGAAAGGCGTAAATCGACTCCTCATGTAATTTCCAGTTCGGGTGATGGCATCTTAAGGCAAATACTCCCTAAATCAAGGCTTTTAATGGCTGTGACTCGAAGATCGCTTCTTTTCTATACCATGACATTGATTCGTAAGGTTAGAGAGTGCATGCACAGTGGCGCACTATGCTCACTCAAGAACGCTGACAGCCAATATGTGCAACCTCATACAAGCTGTGCATGTCGCGACCATGACCACACCCATGCAAAGCGTGCAAACCTACCTTTCGAATTCATTGGACTCCAAGTACCCGGTAGCGCATTCGTCGCTCGTAGCTCTGTCGATAACTATAATTGAGTGGGTGCGGAGGCCTGAGCGTTCATCGGAGAGGATATAAAGGCAGCATTGGCTGCACATGCTGTGTTGATCCTTCAGCATCATTCTCATTACGGACTCAAATTTCTGGCCCCTGTCCCACAAATTCCTCCAACAATCATTTTTCTTGCCTTATCTCCATGGCTGCCAAGGATTCTCTATCTAAAGAACCTAAGACAGTAACCAGCACAGCCGTACACCAGGACGAAAATCACATTCCTCTTGATGTTATTCAAGATTACCGCGTTTGTCTGTTCCTCAAGCACAGTAGTGTCCTCTCTAATCAGGGTCTAGAATATTCTAGCTGCGTACCTCAAAGGGGATAAAGGCGTGCTCATCTCATTTGCACATTAAGGGGGATGGTACTGGAAAAGGCTCACCTACGAAATGTACGAGTGGTGGAAGAAAACTTGGAAATGAGCTTGGAAAGACTCATTTATTTGTTCATCATACTGTTCAGCAAGCTGAGATCAGTCTTGGGCCGAATCGCTGTACTTTATGGACGCGCACAAATATTAGACTCCATGAATTGTCTACTCCTTGCCGGAGAGAATAGGATTGGAAAATCTGCAACTCACTCAAGTGTCCAACTATTTTTTCGCATCCTCGGGCGGTGGTTCCTATGAGGCTTGATGGGTTTAAGTGCAGTACCAGCTTCGCATTTTCTGGAGTCCAGTTCTGGTACCCTTGAGACAGTCGAATCAGTCCCGTTTTCGGTCATTCAACTCCAGTGTAAGTTAGAAACCAACACGAACATAGACACCACTATCACACATCACCAGTTTATTATGTTGCAGCATCTGCGATGTATGTGTTGTCATGTTCATACCTGACCTATAGAATCTCCATGAATGTCCATAGCAGACCGTTCACATGGACATCTTTGGAGATTAGCCTTGAAGAGGGGACAACCAGATTTCCAGCCTATCGTCGAGAGGACATTTATTGGTCATATATCGAGGAGCGTATCCATGAGAATACTTTTTCTCGAGCTTGCACTCTTGCTCTTCACTTTCAGTACTGGTGTTCAAGACTCTTCGGTCGTAAGCCTGTACTACTCTGAAAATATGCTGTTTGTTAACATCATAAATCAGTTTCTTGCCTTCTCTTGCTCCGCTTCAAACCCAATTAGTAATACAGAGTTTCTTGCCATTGGAGCGACAGGACTTGCACCAACAGCTCTTCATTACGGTGTTAGCGGTACTTGCTTCTCATTTTTCATCGCTGGTGCTTATGCGACAGGTCAAGCTGAGAGGATGCTAGGAATCAGTAGACGTCGAATATGGCTCGTAGTCTCTTCTCTGGCTCAAGCAACCCTCATTTGGGCTGCCGGTGTCATCTACTACTCATGTGCCGTTGATCAAGGCAGTCCAGCTGGATATGTCATTCTATCCTTCTTATCTTTTCTTCTGCATCTCAGTTTGTCATAACTCAAGGATTCTCCAGACCCGAGCTCACATCGATGTCAACATCAACTTATATTGACCTTCTAGCAGACGCCAAGTTACATAAGACTTCTAACAGCCCTCGGAACTATCGCATTGCTTCTTTGTTCAGTTTATTGCTCGGGGGCTTTATTGGAGCATACATTACCGAAAGGGCTAATGTAGGGGTTGCCTTTTTCATCGCAGCTCTCGCTAAATTGGTATCTACAGCATGGTTTCTTGTCAAGAAACCAACAAAGGGCTTGGAGAGGAGTAGAAGATGGTATGGCAGTCGTAACTAGGTGATGAATTGATTTGGAGATAGAGGTCTGGCCAGCGCTCTGTGGCGCAGCGACTACTGATTATTCTCCTCCAGTGAGCCACCCCCCAACCCCCTTTACGGACGAAGGCCCGGTTCCGGTGCCCTGAAGGTCCCGCATTTTGGGTCCCCCGTGTTATAAAGGTGCTTGAATGCGTACTCTTCCCAGAAATCTGGACTAAATACCTGAAGCCATTACAATATGTACCTATTCGAGATGCTATATCTTCAAGGCCTCGTTGACGAAAAGTTACATAAAGAACTGTATTTGAGAAATCTTATCGCACACGTGGCATTAAGCAAACGACTCCATAAAATACAGATGGAGTATTATATAGAGAATTGTGTACCGGCTAGGAAGAAGAGCGAATCTTTCACAGATTTCCTCACTCATACTCATTCTGGGATGAACAGGCCTAGCTCGACAGCCTTAATGTCTGGGATTTATGAGCAGTATGGGGTAATAACGTTATATAACTATAAGAACAACAAGGAGATATGATTAAGTTAGCTAAGCAAAATCAATAATAGAACTCTTAGGCTAGATATGCTGTTCATGATTATATTATCCCTCTCCTCCATCGCCGTGTCGAGAGATTCAAAATCTTTTCCAACCGGACCAGGAGCTAATTTACAAGGGGCTGGCATACGAACCCTTCTTCGAGCACGCATTCCAGCAGGTCCCAAAACAGGTCCCCTTTCGACACATGGAAACCCAAACACGAAGCAACAAGTTACTGCTCTCAGACTCGTCAGCAGACCTGATTCTTGAAGCTGAACAAGATTTATATGACGTGATCCAGAGCCCGAGCAGGTTATAGATGATTTAGAGCTCGCTCTATATATTTTGGCATTCTTATAGCACTAACAAACTATCCTCAAAGGTTGCAGCTCTTTGCAGCTACATGATCGGACTTCAATCTTTCAAACCCGAGATTTCAAAAGTATGCCGAGCTGAGAGATATCTCCCAGAGGTTTGTTGAGGCACAAAGATTGGAGCTGCAGTACGTGAAGCCTAGAATCGTGTGTATTAGGAGGCCTACCACCTCGAATAGGGCTCTGTAGGGAAGGGAAGGGAAGGGACTAATTCTGGGAGCTGGGCTGCATACATCATGACGATTCGATTTGAGGTTTTGAAGTAATGCTTCTGGAAAAAGAGATCATGCTATAAGTCCAATGTAACGGTAGGCAATTCCTTGGTTATCTCTTCCCTAGCCGTTTCGACTTCATCCATAGACCAACAATTCAAAATTGCCTTTCCTTTTGAGAATTGAAAGTGCTGAAGCGAAGAAACTTCGTAAGCTAACTTCTAAGTAGGTTGAAAGTTTTGTAAGCTGTGTTAACTTTATGATTTAAGTCGCCGTCGAGTCTTTCAGGCCTGCACGAGGCTCCCCTAAGGGATCCTCAACACACCGCCACCTGATTGGAGCCGAACGCATATCTCCCTCTTGCTAGCCTACGAGCTCATCTCAGCCAACCACCACAACTCCAATACTCGACAAAATCAATAGTTACCCCTTCCCTCGCATTCCTTAATTATCACGCGCATTCTTGCCCTCTTTGTGTGGTTTCAATACCAAGTCGCGAGAATATCTAGACATCCATAACTTCACGGATGTGTTAGCCTCTGCGGATGGCTTGTCTTTTTCTACCTTTGGCGTCTTGTACGCGCTGTTTCTGGTCGGGATTGGTCGACCGGCTCAATCTTCGTTGACCATTGCTCGCGGTTGAGTCTTTCGGGCGACAGTGAGCAAAAGCGGCTGATTTTTGCTATCGGGGAGCATTGACTGGTGAGCAGCGCTCTTTAGTGGTAGGAGGCACTATTTGAACTCTCTTCTGCTTGCGTTTTTTTGGGCAAATAAAGTAAGTTACGCAAGCTCTTGATCCTTAAGCTCTCGAAGTAGACGGATAGGCGGCATGTGTCCTAATGGGGCCATGTACTGGAATATGTATTGATCTGCTCGTTCGTGTACATCATCTTGAGAACTTGGCGTGGGTGCTTTGAGCGGTGGTTCGATCCAAGCATCAATTTCCCTACACAGCGGCTCATTGTCATTAGTAGTACTGTCTGGGGTTGTGGCTGAGATTGGAGGAGACGAGAAACGCTGCAGAGACTCTGGACTCCGCTCTCTGCATACAAGTGAAATGCGTCCCGTGCTCCTGCACCATTCTCTGCCACTGTAGGACAGACGACGGCCACTGCCCATCTGAACGAGCTCGTCGCATTAGCTCGAAAGCTTCAAACAAACGACATTGCAATTGACAATGCCTCAAACTAGCTATAGGATACGAGAACCTTATCATAGTTCTCTTGGAACTCAGTGACAAAGTAGACAAGCAAGGATATGAGGTAATGAAAGCTTCTTCACCTACGCTTCAGCATTTGGACAATCGCTAGCATTGGCCTTTGCAGGCCAGCGAAACGTCGACAGAACTATCATGCTGGATCAAAGATTTTTTCGTAGCGCCGAAATCCAGAAAATTGAGAGTGAACGAAAGCGACAGCGAAGAAAAACTGCATCGCAAAGTTATTCAATGGTCATCCTCAGTCAGTAAAGCTGGTGACCACGACGTCATAAAGCTTCGAACTGCTGCAGGTGCGTCTGAGTTGGCACTTGTTTGTCTGGACGTTCAGCTCATCTATCTCGCTTTTTGTGCCTTTCAACACAGGAGCACATCCCTGAAGTCCAGCCTGCCTCGCCTGTCATCCCGTCGCGTCCCGGTGGTGGCGGTTCCTAAATGGTTCCTTACGGATCCTATGAGCAAATGGCACATCATGAGAAGAGAGATGCATTAATGACGAGAGGAGGCGCAGCAGAAAGCAAAGAAAGCAGTTTACCATCCCTGTGCTCGTTCAGGCCATGAGATACGGCTTCCAGGGTCCCTCGGCTCTTTTCTTGGAGGCTCATTGCTCCGGACAGCTCATTTCCGTTAGCAGCGTTTGCTTAAATGCATTACGCCGTTTGTAGGCTTGGAGAATCTCTGCTCGGTTCTACGTGGCGCAGACCCACCGACCGGCTCAACCTTGTGTCCTCCTACAAACAATTACGTGTAAACCATACAAATGCCTCTTCAAGTTTTGGACCATAGCCACATCATGGTCTGGAGGCGCATCCCTCCATGTATATATAAAGGAGAAAATTCTGGTATCTAGCAATTTACCAACTCACTAACCGCCCCTTTCATTCTGCTACCCACGGAAATTACCTAGAATTCAATTGAGTTCCTGTCAACTTTATCATGAAGTGGATTAAGCAAAAACTTATGACTCTGTTCAACTGGTCAAAAAACGAAGGGGGCAACACAGATGAGAAAGGGGAAAAGTTTGACGACTGGAAAATCATCGCACCCGATCAAAGCTCAGAACGAGTTGCGACCCACACCAAGGATGACATACCGCAGGAGACCTGCAAAGTCTCGATTCGCCGAGTCGATCACAACGCTCTCATGATCAAAGTGGTCCCACCGGTGGAGCCAGTTGCAAATGATACACGTTGGCCTATTGAGCTCATGTTGTTGATTGACGTTTGAGTAAGTACGGATGCTCCAGCGCCCACCCCCCCGAGCGAAGGTGAGGGACACGAACAGAATGGATTCACGGTACTCGATTTGACGAAACATGTGGCATGTACACTAGTTGGAAGCCTTAACGAGCATGATACGCTCTGCGTCGTAACATTTTCATCAACCTGCAGGGTAACAAATCTCTTCGCCTATTTCGCCTATGGTCGCAAGTCTGTTAATCTTTTTTGGACAGGTCCTCTATGTGTGCTTGTGTGTACGTGCACCAGCGGCACTATGGACACCATGGGTACATCTGGCGCATCGGGCAGCCATACCAGATCATACATAGATTCTTTCTTAACCAGTGTACGTAACAGGTTCACAATGGGCCCACTGTGCAATCTGCCACTGCGCCGCCTTTTCAGAGATGAGTTTAGAGAGGAGATATTCATTATTTCGCAAATGCGGACACAATGCGGTGAGTCACCACTCCTTACAGAATATATGTGAGAGTACAACAGTTCAGATGACTGTGAAATGGATGGCAAACATTCTCCTAAAAATAGAGACTTTCAAAGATTTTGGTGACGCGTCGTTGAGCCGACTGAGGACTGCATAAGCTATGCAAAGCCAGCGGCCTCTTTTAAAGAGATAGTATGCGTACACTGAATAGTTAATTTTGCCCGTATAACCACTAGTCTATTTGCATAGGAGGATCATGCATCTGCCGTGTAAAAGTATCCTTAAGTTAAATATGGTGTACTTCAGAATCTACCACACCAATTCCTTCAGCAGCTCCTAAATTTTGCAACCAATTACCAGCTTGACCCATTTATTAAAAATTTTCCCTTGTAGAGAAAACTTTATTTATAAGCTTAGCTCCTTTACCTATGTGCCAGCAATGCTTTCCCTTTTATCCACAGTCAGGACCGATTGAATAATTATATATAGATATATTTAGATACTGGCAATGATGTTAATCTTCACGCATAGACTTGATATATGCCACATTTGAAGTAGAGTTAAAAGAGTTTTGAATCTTTAACTTTATTTATATCTTAAGTTTAGAGAGACTATATTGGTAGACTCAAGTACCAATTCGAGTCAACAGCCATGCTTTCGAGATAAACTTCTCATCAGATTGGCTTTTGTCAAGCCCAAAAAGCGAAGGTTTACCGGGATTTGGACCCAGATAACTTATATACACTGACAGCTTTGTCAAAATTGTAAATGTAGGAGTGTGTTGCACTGAGGGGCTAGCCTAAGCTAGGCAGTGCTGGAGATTGCTGGTGTGCAGCGCTCAGGGAAGCAAAAGGAAGTGAAAATGTAAT